GTGTTCTTCGTATTTGAATCCGATGATGAAGACACCGTGAAAATTCCGGCACACAAAAGCATTCTATCGGCCAACAGCGAGGCGTTCGATGCGATGTTCTATGGTCCGGCCAAGCAAGAAGGTGACATTCCAATCGTCGACTCAACTCCCGAGGCGTTCAAGGAGTTTTTGCAATTCTTCTACCTTGGAACGGTAAAATTGACGGCGGATAATGTGGCCGATGTCTGGAACCTCGGCAAACAATACATGGTCGACGATTGTTGCATGGCTAGTTCGAATTTCTCTGAGGAAACACTTACATTGGACAACATGTGCTGGGGATTTGAACTGGCCATTCTCTTCGAACAAGATCGTTTGATGAAGTTATGTGAACAGAAAATCAGCGAGAACCCGAAAGAAATATTCAAGTCGAATGGCTTTCTGACATGTGGATCAAATGTCTTGGCTCGCATCCTACAGTTGGAATCACTGAACTGTGATGAATCGATGGTGTTTGATGGATGTGTGGCATGGGCTAAAGCTGCCTGCATTCAGAAGGGATTGGACGAAACGAATATGCAGAATCTACGCAACCAGTTGGGTGACCTGTTCTACGAGATCCGTTTTGGCGATATGACGGCCGAAAAATTCTTCATGCGTTATCGTGCATATGAAAAAATGTTTTCAACAGAGGAGTGCAAAGATATTTTCGGAATGATCGCATCAATGGATTATCAACCACCGAAATTCAATCGGAATGCACGCATGGCGGTCCTAAAGCTGAACAAAAACACTGATCAGCTCATTTGTGATCGAATTGACCCAACTTGCTTGGACCACAAAATATATCCTTTTCAAAATTCGCGAGATGATACTGTTTTTTCATCCAATTGTGCACTACTTCTGAAAGCAATTCAATGTAATGAACTGTTTCATTCCGAATTTGAATGTAATAAATCTACATCAAATGCAGCACATTCTACAAATACCATACCAGCTGAAATGAATGTGATCGAACTTTCAAATGAACGTTGTAATGGGGAAAGGAATGGAAGGTACATTGGAAACAACAATAAGATAATTTATGATGCACAAGTGATTCTTCATTCATCGCATGGAACCATTGTCCACCTTTCAACACCAATCGTCATTCGACCAGATCTGAAGTATAATATTACTTTTAAATTTAATTTTGATGGCTGCTACACTTTGATGACCATGAAGCCCAAGGTACAAATGGAACAAGGCGTTGAAATTGAATTCCACAAGATGAATGCATGGTATCATTTAAGTCAAGGAAATTCAATTCGTTCAAATAGAATCCGTACAACTGTTGATCAAGGACTAGTCAAACAATTGATCTTCGTGAAATCTGAAGAATAAAGCTTCCATTTTTTTAATATTCGCCTCATGCATACATAAAAATCGAAATCATAACATCGATAATTCAACATTGGAATTTGTCTCATTTTTTTCCAAAATAGAAAACGAAACTACCATTGACATGTTAACAAATTTCAAGACACAAATACATAAAATAAACAAAAACACAATCTTTCCTTTTTGTCATAAATATATTTAAAGCAACAATAAATTCCATATTTTCAAAGCGACTATTCATTTATTAGAACAAAATTCAGTGAATTTACTCAAGGAATTTAAATTCCCAATCAAATACCTACAAATTACGCTTTTTCTCTTGCACTGACTGTCGAGACAAATGTTGTTCTGCCAAAAATGTTCAACGAACAGTTCACTTTCGTTTCATATTCACACCTGACTAAGAAAATGTTTGTTTATTAACCACATCATTTACATTTTTGGTCACTTCAATTTCATCTGAAATTGAAATGTGAACATGGTGTAGTTAATAGATAAAACCTTTTCTTTGTCAGGTGATAAAGGGAGAGAAAATATTTAAAAAAATATTTTCATTTGAACCAAAAATCCATTGAATCATTTCGACTTTTTCAATCTCGGCGCGTTGTTTTGTCAAATCCATTGACATCTTTCGTCGCACCTTAGACAAAGCCGTTCGGTTGACAGCTGTCAAATGCGGCTTTTTATTGAAACGTCACAAGCAAATGAAAACAATGTGGTTGCATGCGTTCATATGAAAAATCAGCGAAATTTACTGTTTTTTCTTTAGTTCACTCGTTAAAATCGTGGCAAAATGCCGAAGGAACAGTTTCGGGAGGCGGATGTGATTAAAAAGATGTAAGTGTGATAAGTTTTTTTCGGGGAATTGTGTTGAAATTTTTAATTTAAAAATATGTGGCAAAGAAACACATTCAACAACACATCTTTTCTGTGTATAGATCACACGTCCAGTTTGGAATCGACAGCCCGGAGGAGATTCAACAAGAGGCTCACATTCGGATTGTATCTAAGAATTTGTATAATGATGGTCGGCAACCAGTGCCGTACGGTGTGCTGGATCGACAAATGGTAAATACGAAGTTTCAATGTTTGGTTCGGCATTACAACAAAAACTAGTGACTGACATATAAAAATTGACTGATAATTTTCTCTCTCTTTGCGCTCTGAACAATGACATTTTAGGGTGTGAGCCAAAAAGACGCGCTCTGCTCGACTTGCAACCAAGGATTGAATGAATGTGTCGGTCATTTTGGCTATTTGGATTTAGCACTGCCCGTTTATCACGTCGGCCACTTTCGATCAACCATCCAGATTCTTCAAGCCATTTGCAAGGTGAGTTATTTTCGATCTTTGTTGTGGAATTGGTATAAATTGTGAGTTTGTTAACCAACAAAATTTGATTTTTTTCCGGACAAAAATTCCAGTTTTTATGACAAAAATTTAGAATTTCATGAAAAAAAAATGATTTGTGAATGAAAAAAAGTCGACTTCAAGCAGAAAAATAGACTTAAAAGAGTATTCACAACCAAAAATTCCAATATATATCCAAAAATTCATATTCTTCAACACAAAAATTGATTTTTTTTTCATGAGCATTTGACAAATTCTGAATATTTTTTCTGAATTCTCCTTTCTTATTCTAGACATGTGCACGTGTGATGTTAAAAGACATCGACAAGCAAACGTACGGCCGTCGTTTGCTAAGTCAAAATTTGTCATACTTGGCGAAAAAGTCGATAACCTCACAAATTCTGGGCAAAGCAAAGAAACACACGAAATGTCCACATTGCGGTGCAATTAATGGGCCGGTCAAAAAAGGGCCTGGTTTGATGAAGATATTGCATGAGCCATTTCGCGGAAAGAAAACCACCGATCCTATCATGCAAGAGCAGCTAAACGAGCTACAAGAGGCGACCGTGAGAAATCGAGAGTTGGCAGCAATGATTGGACCAGGTGCCCTAATTTGTGAATTGAATCCATTGCAAGTGTTGGATTTATTCAAACGAATCCCAAAATCCGATGTGCCACTGCTTGGAATGACTTCTGCCGATGCAAATCCAGCCAATTTGATCGTAACACGCGTCTTTGTGCCACCAGTTTGTATTCGGCCAAGCGTCGTATCAGAAATCAAAGCCGGAACAACGGAAGATGACTTGACGATGAAGCAGAGCGAAATTTTACTCATCAATGACGTTATCAATAAGCACATGACCAGCGGTCATAAAATCGAACAAGTCCAAGAGGATTGGGACTTTTTGCAATTGCATGTTTCGTTGTATTTCAACAGCGAGGTGTCGGGCATTCCGATGACGATGTTGGTGAGTTGAAGAATTTGGTGAAAAATCGCTTTAATTTGTTTTTCGTGATTTTCAATCATTCAACCCATTTCTTCCAGCCCAAAAAATCATCGCGTGGCATAGTGCAGCGGTTAAAAGGCAAACAGGGTCGTTTCCGTGGCAATTTATCTGGCAAGCGTGTCGATTTCTCTGGTCGTACTGTAATCTCGCCGGATCCAAATCTTATGATCCATCAAGTGGGTGTGCCCGAGCGAGTGGCCAAAATTCTTACCTACCCTGAAAAAGTGAATCCAGCGAATCTTCAGCGGATGAAGCAGCTTGTAAGAAATGGCACCGAAAAACATCCAGGTGCAAACTATGTGCAGCAGAAAGGGCTGACGTTCAAAAAGTATTTGGCTTATGGTAATCGAGAGAAAGTCGCACAAGAGTTGAAATGTGGTGACATTGTTGAACGCCACTTGACCGATGATGACATCGTTCTGTTCAATCGACAACCGAGTTTGCACAAAATGAGTATCATGTCACATCGGGCCAAAGTTCAACAACAGCGAACTTTTCGATTCAATGAGTGTGCTTGCACACCGTACAATGCCGATTTTGATGGAGACGAAATGAATCTGCATCTTCCACAAACTGAAGAGGCTCGAGCTGAAGCACTTGTTTTGATGGGCAATCAATCGAATTTAGTCACACCGAAAAATGGAGAAATGCTCATTGCTGCTACACAAGATTTTATTACCGGAGGCTATTTACTTACACAGAAAGATGAATTCTTGACCAAGGAACAAGTTATGCAACTCGCTGCTTGCCTTTTGGCCGGACCAGACTCGAATATCACCATTGATATTCCCAAACCAGCCATTCTGAAGCCGAGACGATTGTGGACCGGGAAACAGGTATGCATTTGCCTTTTTTGTACACCTTTTTATTGTTGTTTTACAAAACAAGTGACATTTTTCAACTAAAAGGACTTATTTAGATCCATAGTACGAACTCCGTATAATCGAACTCAAATACATTTCGTTTAAAATCAATTGAATTTCTCCGAACGATTTTACAAGATTTTTCTTTTTGGATTTTTGCTGCATTTTTTATCGATTTTGTTGAAATCGTTGATGGCAATTTTTTTACAGATTATTATTAACATTCTTTTATCGAGCATTTTTTGCAATCATTTTAAATTTTTTGTGAAAAAAGATGAAATTTGCAATAGTTATTTTTATTACATTAAATTTGTCTACTTTTTCTCAATCATTTTTCATCATTGAAATATTTCAGGTGTTCAATTTGCTCCTTCGACCAAACAAAGACGATCCAGTTATTTCCAATTTAGAAACGAGAGGCAAAAATTACACAAACAACAAGGACTTATGCGTTAAGGATTCATGTAAGTGATTGGCTTATTTTCATTTATTTTGATTAGAAATTGAGTCAGGCTTTTGTTTGAACTTTAGCGTTCGTTGTCGGATGTTGAACCAAATAATAGTTTTTATGTCAAAAAATATTGATCATTTGAAAATTATTGACATGTTGATTGAATTGTTAAAATTATAATAGAATTACTATTAAAATTATTCACATTTTGATGGGGAAAAAAATTCTTCCATTTTAGATGTGGTCATTCGAAATTCGGAACTGATGTGCGGTTCAATGGACAAGAGTACATTGGGTTCAGGCACAAAAAGTAGTATTTTCTACGTGATTCTGCGAGATTTTGGTGAAAAACCATCGACAAAAGCTATGTGGCGTTTGGCTAGGGTAAGATTTATTTCAATTTGTTTTTTCGAAGAGCTTTCCTTTACTTTATTTTTTCGTTTTTCTCTTCATGATTTCAAAGAGAGACTGAAAGAGTGTAAAATTTAAAATTTTACAAATTTGTCATACAAATTTTCCACCTTATTGTATTTATCTAAAAAAAATCACCCTCCTTCATTCCAGATGGCTTCATACTTCATGATGAATCGTGGTTTTTCATTCGGAATCGGTGATGTAACGCCAAGTAAGCGGCTGCTCGAAGAAAAGCAGCTGTTGCTCGAAAAGGGTTATGAAAAGTGTGACAATTACATTAACGAGATGAAAAAAGGGACGTTGCAATGTCAGCCGGGTTGTTCGCCAGAGGAAACATTGGAAGCGGTAATTCTGAAAGAGTTGTCAAGTATTCGTGAACTGGCAGCAAAAGCGTGTTTCCGTGAGTTGCACCCAACGAATAGTGCATTGATCATGGCCCAATCGGGATCAAAAGGATCCAACATCAATATATCTCAGATGATTGCCTGTGTGGGTCAGCAGGCCATTAACGGAAAACGTGTGCCAAATGGTTTCGAAGATCGTGCGTTGCCACATTTCGAAAAATTCTCCGCCGTACCAGCTGCTCGTGGTTTCGTTCAAAACAGTTTCTACTCTGGACTAACGCCCACCGAGTTCTTTTTCCACACGATGGCTGGACGTGAAGGTTTGGTTGATACCGCTGTTAAAACCGCTGAAACTGGTTACTTACAACGTCGGTTGGTAAAGTGTTTGGAAGATTTAGTCGTTCATTACGATGGCTCAGTGCGAAATGCCATCGGTGAAATCGTCGAGTTCATCTACGGTGGTGATGGTTTGGATCCAGTATTCATGGAAACAAAAAATAAACCCGTTGACTTGGTGCGAGAAATGATGCATTTACGAGCAAAACACCCTTGTCGAGATGAGAATCCGCTGCGCGGCGATGCAATTATTCCAACTGCCACCAAAATACTTGAGACTAAAGAATTCCAAGACGCACGAAATGATTTCAAGAAAGAATCATTGGGCTTTTTGGAAAAGTACGCGGAACGATTGACTTTGATACAAGATCGATACAGTGCATGCAAATCAGCAGTGGTGCAAGAAATCGAACGAACCACCACTGGACAAATCTATAAATTTTTAGAATCGGTCAAAGATAAATATAATTTGGCTGTTACGGAACCAGGCACAGCGGTGGGAGCATTGGCTGCACAGTCAATCGGTGAGCCCGGCACACAGATGACATTGAAAACTTTTCATTTTGCTGGTGTTGCTTCGATGAACATCACACAGGGTGTACCGCGTATTGTGGAAATTATCAACGCCAGTAAAATGATTTCGACGCCGGTAATCACAGCCGAGATTATCAACAGATATGATATGGAATATGCACGAAAGATTAAGGCTCGCATTGAAAAAACGACGCTAGGGGAGGTAAGATACTTAGGAAGTTTTTGTTGCTCGAAATAGAAATAGAAAAAAATAGACGAAAAAGTAGTTTGGTTTGTTTGGAGAATTTTCGACTCATTTTGAATTTTTTTTTATTTCGATTTTAATTGACAATTTTTATCGCAAATCTAGAATTATTTTTGCCATCTTGTCTTTTACCTATTTTTTTTTTTAATTGGTAATTTGATTAAACGACATTTTCATTCAAAATGGATCTCATCAATGAAATTGATTTTAATTGATAAATCAAAATAATTCATTGTCGATAGTTTTCATTGAAAAAGGAAATAAAAATGCTAAAAATATTTCATTCCATTTCAGGTATCGTCTTTCATCGAAGAAGTCTATAAACCGACTGATTGTTTTTTGGTGATCAAATTGGACTTGGACCGTATTCGAGTGTTGGGCTTGGAAGTGAACGCAGAAACCATTCAATATTCGTAAGATTCAATTTTTAAACTCTTGTTTGCCTTAGAATTTTATTTGCCAAATTTTGTTGTTGAAATGCTTATTTGGACATTTTTTTCCCTGCGCAGAATATTTATTTTTGAATATTTTGGTTTGAAAACGTCATTTTATAATTTTTCAACATGAAAAATTTATTCTCGGATTTTTTGTTGGCTGAATCAATTTTTCTTCCTGAAAGTTTCATTCTTCAATTTTTTTGCCTTAATTTTTTTTCAATTTGTATTAAAAAAAATTCAATTTTCAATACATTTCACTTTCTAATTTTCCATCAAGTATTTTCTTTCCATTAGTTCGACAATATTATTTTTAGAATTCTTCTCTTGGCAAAAGAAGATTATTTCTCAAATTTTTGTAAAATTTCCAAAAAAAAAAATCATCTAAAATTTTGTTTCTTTCCAGAATTTGTACATCAAAACTTCGGCTTAAACCTCACAATGTGATGATTTGTGGTCCCTCATTGATTTTGGTGCGGCCGGATTCAACGAAACACGGTCATGCTTTGAATGCTGAATTGTCTCGATTAGTCAACGCCATTCCGAATGTGGTGATTGCTGGTTTTCAGAATGTCTCCCGTGCCGTAATTGCTGTTGATGACACAACAAAACCGGATAGTTACAAATTATGTGTCGAAGGAACTGGATTGGGTCAAGTGATGGCAACGTACGGTATAATTGGCCACAAGACAAAGAGCAATAACATTTGGGAGGTGTACCAAACGCTAGGCATTGAAGCGGCTCGAACAACAATCATGAACGAAATCACCGACGTGATGGAAGGTCACGGCATGACAGTCGATCACCGACATATTATGCTTTTGGCCAGCCAAATGACCAGCCGCGGTGAAGTGCTCGGTATTACCAGGCATGGTTTGGCCAAGATGAGGGAGTCCGTTTTTAATTTGGCGTCGGTAAGGGGGAAAAATTCCTGAAGAAAATTTTGGTTCTGTATTTTTTTTCATTTTTCAAGCGAATTCTTTGAATTTTGTGGAATTGTTTTTCTAATTTTATTTCTTGCTTCTTCTTTTGCATACAATTTCAATTATTTTCTTTATATTTTATCAAATTCGATAAAATTTTAACAAATTCAATCGTGTTTTCATCTCAATTCAACATATTTTTGAAGGAACAGTGCGAAAAAATCTAATTTTTACCCAAATGTCTCTCTTTCAGTTTGAGAAAACGGCAGATCACTTGTTCGATGCAGCCTACTACGGTCAAACAGACGCAGTGGATGGTGTATCCGAGCGCATTATTCTGGGAATGCCAGCGTCAATTGGTACAGGAATCTTCAAGCTGTTGTACAACCATGATAAATGTGACTTGGAGCCGCCACTTGAGCCGATTTTTGCCTAAAACACGATTCTCCTCGACTTTAAATTGTTTATTTTCTAAAATTTTCTTTATAAACTAAAATAATGTAATTAAAAACACATCGAATAAAATTTAAATTCAATATGCATTTATTTCCAAGGAAAAAACGTAAAAAATGTAAAAAAAAAATTATTGTTGTCGTTGGGATTGTCGGCAGAGTCTTTCCATAACATCGTGGTTATAAGTAGAATGAAGCATAAGCCCAAGCACATTAGCTCTGGAAGTCATCGCAGCTCGAACTTGTCGTTCTTGATCCATGAGCTCGTCTAATTTCAAGTATTCACGGACGCGTTCCAAATCGATTTCCGCCCTTCGAATCTTTTCCCAAACATAATGCTTGAAGCAATGCTTCTTCGGTGCACGACAAAATTCCCCGGTCAATTCGAAGACATTCTTCACCAATGGACACCCACAAACGTCTGCGTCGCTAACTTTCGGATCCTTACAATGTTCCGGGCACAGAACGCGCAATCGTTTGCAATACGTGTTACTGGCTGGATTGTAAAAGTCACAAAACATGGAGTTGCCCTCGAGTCGAGTTTTAAAAATGCTGCCAAAACTCGCTTGGCTTTCATATTTGTTGAAGCATTTTTCCATGTGTCGAATGGCGGTTCGTGAGTGAATTTCATGGCCGCATGTGATGCAATACATTGACATTTCATCTTCTTCGGCGCTTTCCAGTGCTTTTGGATCGAGTGTACAGTGTTTGGCACGTTCGACCAGCAAATCCAATTCTTTTTGTCGTTTGTCCAATTCGCCTAGTGTCGCACGAACGGTGGACTGTTTTGCACGAATCACTTCCAATTGTTTGATGTTTTTCTCTTCGCCGACACACGGCGATAGGTTCCACTCTTGGATTCGCTGCGGTAGAACTTGATAAATGCGACTGGTGGCGAGTTTTAGGCCACAAGCATCGGAACAATATTTGGATTGTGGTCGAGCTGTCATTTGACAGTTTGGGCCGTAGCATTGACGATCACCTTCAAGATTGGGATTGATGAATACCTCCGGACTCGGCGAACGACGACGACGCTTTGTACGTGAAGCGGCTTTTTCCTTCTTTAAATTGAAATTCAAGCATATGCGACGCTCACAACGATGCTTCCGACCCGGTTGACGACTAACGCATGCATTACATTCACCACAACTCGGAGCGGTACAACCTGAACATGTGCCACAACGTTCCTTTAACTTGATAGCTCGTTCTTTCTTTTCCTTCTTTCGATCACCGTCACGGTTCTTCTCTTTTTCACGTGTTTTTGCTTCTTTTGCCATCTTTTTTGCTTTTCGGTCCTCGGCAGTGATACCAGCCACGGCAACAGGCACTGCACGGAATACTGTTTGTAACGTTGGATCGGCCTCTTTGCACGACAGGCAGTAGTAGTGCTTTATGTGCTTTGCCTCTTTTTCAGTGACATTGATACAGTCACCGTGATACCATTCTTCACATGCATCGCAGGCTCTGGGAATAGAGGAGAATGGGTTAGAATGATTGAGAATTAGATATGGAGAAGTCGATTCGAACTGCAAAGAAATTTGATTTTTTGACTCTGCTTTGTTGACAAAATTTCGTTCATCAACGAATTTCATCCATTTCAATTCAAAATACCACTTTTTTCGTGTATCTTCCCTCGTCAAATATACTCACATCATAAATCTGGAGCAATCAGATGACCGACATATGCAATACGCTTCTTCATCATGCTTCATAATCGTTGCAATTTTACTCTTTCGCTCCGGCAACTCAAACTCCTTCGCGATCTCCTCTTTCTGATTGGGATAAAGCAGAGAAAATGTCAATTTTGATAATAAGTAGAAGACGAATTTTTAGTGACAAATCTTCTAAATTCACGAATATCTTCGTCATTAGCGTCGCTGATTGTTGGATCTTTATTATTGATTGCAATTTTGGTGACGTTTGTGTTGTCTTTTTGAAGAAAAAAATGCCAAAACATCGTGTGTATTATCAAGAATGAACAATATTTTTGGCATAAACTTCGTTTCCATCAGATTTATGCTAAATCATTGAAAAATTAGCCGAAATAATTGCTTTTCTTCGAAAAAAACTGCTGTTTTCTCATCAAAACTTTGCTCATTCTGTTTCATCAGACTCATTAATATTCGAACAAATCGATTTTTTCTGCAAATTTACCTAAAAAATTAAAAATTCAACTCACCGATCGCTTGTTCTTCTTTTTATCGTCCATTTTTTGAAGCTGTTTAAAGAGTTTTACAAGAATTTAATACGACAATTTAGGTGATAATAAACATTTGTTTGTGAAATACACGAAATCTTCGGCGGCTTGTTGTTTTATGCACTATTTTCTGCGATTAGAATGTGACAGTGACAACTCTGAAGCTCTCAAGCTGACTCAGTCGCCACCTGGTGGACAATTGAGGAGATTAGACACTTTTCTACGTGGTTCAGTTGATTAAACTATTAAAGTTTTCTTCCTTCAATTGAGAATTGATTTTTTTCCTTACTTAAATTGCAGCTTATGAAAAGATGATGAACAATTCCAACTCCATTGGACTGAAAGATTAAAAAAAATTGTTCGTACACCGAATGGATTTCATGTGTGTGTTTTAGTTTAGACACCAACTACACTCAATGTGAATCCAATAAAGGCCTCTTCCAAATTCAATGTCAATGAAACGATTTGACAATTCTCCGTCTGTCATTCGGAACAACATTGAAAGTTGTGTTGCGAATATGATCTAAGAAAAAAAGTGTAATTTTATTCAAATTCACGTGAAAATCTGAAATATCTCTGAATTTGTCGGTGTTTCTCAGGGAAAGGAACGATCAAAAATGAATTTTCTAAAGCGTGCCGTTTCGATTAGCGGTTTGATTGCAAATCAAAGTAAGTTAAATAGTTTCAATGGTCTTTAAGGTTATGTGTAGTTCCAGTGCGGATTGATGAGATTTTGTACAAAACAATGTCTATTTTGTGGAAGAAAACTCAATTTTCCTATCAAAAAGTCGAAAAAATGAATTCATTCACGATTGTTGCATCTTTAATTACAGCTTAATCGAACCTTTTTTGTTATCACTTTCGATTTTCTTTGGATTCAATTCAATGTTCATCAAACTTTGACAATTTTTCAATGAATTCCAGCGATTGAAAGTCGAAAAACCTCTCAAACTTTGAATTTTCGTAACAATTTTTTTCATTTTCATCAAATTATTTCCACAAAATTATTTTTTATATCCATGTCCACTAATTTGCCCAATGTGTTTACCATATTCCAGCGGTAAAATCGCTTCATCAGAATGTCCGTGCGATGTCTTCAACATTGGTGGCTCCAGGTGTGGAGCGAAAATTCGTTCCATTGAATGAAATCAAGCCACTTACATCTGTGCGCATCGAAGAGTATTTGAAGTCACTGAAACCTGAGGAGTTGCCCGGTGAACAGAGATTGCAACGAATGCACGACAAACCATTCATAAAATGCTATAAAAAGCGGCGGCCAGTATTCGATGGCAAGCCATTTGCTAAGGGTGTTGTGCTGCGAACATTGATCAAGAAACCACGTAAACCAAATTCGGCCAATCGTAAATGTGTGCTGCTTAGACTGTCGACCGGTAAAGAGATGACAGCCTATGTGCCCGGTGAAGGACACAATCTACAGGAACACAACGTTGTACTTGCCAAAATCGCCCGATTGCGAGACACACCCGGTGTCAAAATCAAGTGTATTCGAGGCGCCTACGATTTACCGCATGTCGTCAAGCGACGTGATTAGATAATCATAAAAGAAAGCTATAGTTATGTATCATCGTGATGATGTAGCTGAGTTTTTAAGTAAAAATTGTTTAAATTTGAGATAAAATTAAAAAAAAAACACAAGCAATTACATTTGTATCGGTTTTTATTCATTTCATATGTGTGGTGCATTTGCTGAGGTATGTAAAGGTAGTGGTACAGCCTTCCAATGCTTAAAAGACTGGCACGTTGCACCATGGGCATAGAGGGCTGTCACAATCATGCTCATAAAATTTCGACTTTATTTGGAGGTATTGTCGCACCGACTCACTCTCAATCTCAGTCAAATGCTTGAACTCATCTTCACGACGATTGGCCTGGCCTAGTTCCAATAGCAAAGCGTTGCTGGGCTTTTGTCGATTGCATTCCAACACGTTGGCCAATTTTTGAATCAATTCGTCGGAAAAGTTTATTTTACAATGATCGAGTGTAAGTGACTTCCACTGACTGGCGAATCGAACAAATTCAATCAAATTTACTTGGCTTATCGTCACACGATGCAGACGAAAATGTTCCAAATGTGGAAACTGTTTGGCCAATACAACCAAAGACTGTTCATAGTATTGTTCACCTTCGATATCACCACCATTAAATCTCTCCAGATGTATTTTCCGTAGCCCATCAAATGTAGCCAAACACTCGACAATGCTCTTCAGATGCTCATGATGCAAATCGATCAGACTGATTTCCGTTAAATATTGAAAAGCATGCAAACTGTTGATGTCCTGGCTATTTATGGGATCGTCAAATTCATCTTCTACTGAGCTCGATATGCTAATTTTTTCCACCATACGTAAGTGTTTGACTGCCATCATCAACGGAGTAAATCGCTTCTTCTCATTAGCCGCCACAAATTCCAGGCACGTTAACTGTAGATTCCATTGAAAATATAATTGAAGCTCGTGTCTGTAATCATGCAGAATACTTTCGATGACGGCGAAACGTCGCAAATTTTTCCATGGTTTGTCACACTGAGGCATTGTCACATTTCCCTTCAGTTCAAAGTCTATCAAATCTGGGCACATGGTTTGGAAATCGATCTTATGCGTATATGCTGCATAGCCCATTAAGTAACTGCCAAATACTAAGACCTCCAAACCACGAAGAATTGGTGCAACTATTGCGATTCGACGATCTTCACTGATGAAAAAGCCAGACAAGCGTGCTGTTCGAACGTTGGTTCCAATGTTATCGCGCAATACTTCCAAAAATCTAGTGACAATATCGTGTGCGAACATCGTATCTTGCAAACCATATACTAGGTCATCCCAATTGCTTTCAACGGTGAGATCGGTGATGTAAGGACCAATGCAACGTAACGCTCGACGCATCTTCACCAATGTCGTTGAGAACAGGAGTGGATCGTAATTATTGTTACAGTCGTATTTGTTCTGGTTAATGAATTTGAATGTCCGAATAAGCGGGAAACATCGCTCATCCAATAATCGCTTGAACATTTTGCACACATCGGCCAAATTGACGAGCGAGTCGAGATCCAGGAATTTGCATACACGCAACAGACAGTCTTCGTTCAAGGTGAATATTTCTGACGTTTGTTCAACGTTGTCCAAATCGTGTGTCGGTGGTTGATCAATATTTTCTGATGGTTGTTTCCATGAATCCGCCGGACGAACTTTAAACGGTTGCTTTCTCTTCATCTGCACATCAAAATCATGTTGTAATTGCATCAAATACGAATTATGATCGCTGGAAAATTTCACATGCGCCGATGTCTTATTTGACAATATTTCAATCGATTCGATGTCACCCAGGTTTCGGAAGAAGAGCTGTCAATTTCTCCCATTCACGATACTAGCGCCACTGAGGTATATAGCAAATCAATGTAAAGTGGAGTTTATTTTGTAACTAAAATACGCGGCATTTTTGAAATTTCGTACTATTTCCGCACCTTGATGTCACCGAATTTTCTGGTGTGCCGACGAATTTCATTCACCGAAAATTCTGGAATGGGCTGAGAAAATTGAGTCAATAATGATTAATAACGAATAATTCAATGATGAAAAGATGAAAAGTGGGTATTCAAATACATACCAAAGTGTAGTCGTGACTTTTCTGCAAACCCCATTGCCAGTCAAAAGTATTTCGGCATTTGTTTATTTCAATATGTAGGGTTCTTACCACAACGAATCGTTCTCTGTCGTATGGCTCATCATCATCAACTAATTTCCATTCAAAATCATCCCAAACAAATGGCATTTTTGCGATTTTATATTAAACAATTTTCGTTAATGGATTTTTAACTAATGTTTATGCGTAAATATCAATATATCATATCGTTTTCCGGTTGCGCCTAGTGTTCCGTACGTTTATAATTGCACCATGCTTTCACTGCAGCGAAATGTAAAACAAGTGCCAACACACATACATCGTACATTCTTGTGACTTGACACGATTGACTCATTTGCAAAGAGATCAATTTACATATATTTGAATTGAACTTATGCATTTGAGCGATAGGTAAAAAGCAAGCGATTGAGATTGCTAAAAAAAACTCCCATCAAAAAGGGAGAAAGAAAAATAAACCACGAAAAAAAGAAAATTCTTGAATAAAAAAAATTAAGGAAAAAAAGTTTTTTTTCTTCCCAATTTTGATTATGACAAATCGTCTTTTCCATTCAAAAATTATTCATTTTAACCATAGCACATGCACATGGGTTTTTGAAACAGAAATTATCGCTCGTTGAAACAGTTCGATCGAATGACTTACTCTCAACATTAAAAATGATTATTTTTCAAAAATATAATTCACTTCGTCTGGAAAAAAGCTGTTCTTTTATTTACTACTGTTATACTGTAACAGTATCAATTGATGCTGTTGACCTTGATGCTGTGCAACGATGCAAAAATTGAAAGATAAAGCAATTGAAAGAAATTAGAAGATAAAGCAAATAATCGAAAGAATGAGAAGCAATCGGAGTCAATTCAAGCCAGTCTGTGACATTCATTCACGTGTCTCATTTAACCGCACCAGTATTGAAACCATAAAAGCCAACAAAGATAAAGAGAAAAAAAAACCGTAAGATTCAGTGTTATTTCAATAAAATGTTGTTTATTTACACATTTAAAATGATAAATCAGAAGAAAAAAAAAAACAAATCGTTAAAGTTGCTCTTTGTTTTTGTTGTTGCTTAGTCATAATAAATAAACTCTTGAATAATAATATATTTTCCATGTTTTCTTCTTCTCCATGCTTTGCATTTCGGATTAATAAATACATTTTGTGATAAGCTCTCAACAATATTATTTCAATCAAATGTGTTGGTATTTTGAAAACAAAACAAAAAACAAACAAACAGAAAGAAAAGTGAACGTGGCGCCTTGCTAAATATGTTCATGTGGTTTTTCATTACTTTTTTTTTTTTTTAATTCAATCTATACTTGCTTAGAAGGCACATTACAAATAAACAGTTTTATTATTATTATTTTTCATGCACACATTTGAAGTGTCAGAACAGATTTTCTGGCTGTTAAAGATCACAATTTCGTTTGTCAAATAACATAGAGTATAAGATTCAGTAGGATTTTGAGGAAAAATAGTTGCGTTGAACGCCATTCGTCAGTGATTAATATGAATTAGAGAGGTGGCGGCCAATTTTCAGCCATTGGCTGACTAACACATTCATTTAACTTGTCTACGGGCTACAGATAAATATAAATAAAAAAAACACTTGATGCTGTAAATACACGTAATAAAAATCAGATATCAATGAAAATTGCTTAACATTTCTTATTAATTTTTTCACTTCTTTGCAACAATATGTGATGCTCTTGGAACTAAAATATCATTATGCTTGCACGCGCTCGTGCGGGAGGATAAACAGTATATATTCAAAACGTCTTGAGCGCTTAAAAAATTGAACGGCCCAGAAAATGCAACTTCTGAGAGAAACTTTGTTTTGTTTGTTCCTTTTCATATTTAGTATAGACAATATAGTTCAAGCTGTTCTTGATGCAGTTTAACAATTCTATAGATTTACTTCTTTTCGATACTCGGTCACAAACTTAATTCTGTACAATCTGGATCAAGGACGTTTACATCATACCAAAATCTACGGACTCGTGAACTTGACCTTCTACTCAACGCGACATGTTCAATGCCTTTTTCATAAATTCACGGCCATTTATGGATTGGTTTTGGTTTATTTTGGATCATGTGGACAATGAGATTTCTTTTGCTTTGTTTGATTGCTAGTTTTATCTATTTTGCGTTTTTTACAAATCGTTTTGAAATCAGATTAACAATGAATTGTTTGCTTGATTATCGTTAACTATTTCCAGGTTGCAGTTAGATTAAATGTGATTGGTGTTTGGTGACACTTGATGCTACTGGGTTTTGATACCGATTGAATTTCAGACGCCGTTTTAGCCGCCGTTTTAACCAATCCGAAGTTCAGGCAAGTCGACACTCAGCCAAATTTACTTGAAATAAGAAAATTGATTCTCTGTCGACACGAGTCAGAGAAAGAAAATTCCGTCCAAATAAAAGTCAATTGAAATTCGACTCAGACGAAGAGTTTTTTTTTTTCTCAAATCAGCAACAAATTTTCCCACAATATAAGCAAAAAATGAATTTAGTTGTGAAGATTATCGTCCAATTGAAGTTAAATTTAGAAGAAAAAAAAACTAAAATTTTGTGATGGTTATTCTTTGACTTGGCTTTGGTTTAGACAAAATTGAAAAATTCAATTTTGTTTCCTAATAATCGGTATGGTATCAAATCCCTGTAACTCAATGCCTACTTCAATAGTAAACCATTTCTTTCGTGGCTTATTTCTTCAGTGATTGATAGAGTGTAGTGTGATTCAGTGGTGATGATATTTGTATTAACTTTGTATTGAGTAGATAGATATTTTGTGTAGTGGCGGATGAAATGAGAGCATTTTTTTTAAATATTTACTTCATTTGTTGAAAAAGCCATTTTTCAATTAATTTTGACCTTTTGAATGGATTTTTTTTTCAACGTTTAATTCATCAAATCATAATAATTCATTTCTTCAGAAAAAAGTTTTTTTTTTCAATTGTTCAATGAAAATACTGTTTCTTTTAAATTCATAAGGTGATTATTTTTTTCACGGGAAAAATAGCCGTTTTTTGAAAAGACAAAATAATTTTTTCTTCTATTTTGTCCTGAAGTTCCAACCAAAAATTTCATGTTTGAGATTTTTTTTTTTGAAGATTCAATATTTCAATTATAAAATGTGATGGTCAGTGAAAAAAGTGATAATTTGTATGACTTTTATTAGTCTTACTTAAAGCTTCTTCAAGAACCAAAAGTTCAAAAAAAAAAACTTTCTTTCCATTTTCCTTCTCCAAAAAACCCTCTCATTCCATCTGCATCCAAATAATAAAAATGTATAGTGAAACAATGCGCTTAATATTATATCGGTTGTTCAAGTAGTTTACGTAGCTTTGTTTGTTATTCCTGTAATTTTTTGTTCTTGTTGTAGATTTTATCCAAAAATAATGAAAAATAATTTAAAAATTAAAATTGTTTTCAGATAACATTTCTTGAGTTTTTTTTTTAAACAATATTAACTGATCATTGATTTCATTCATTCATTGATTTTTGTACAGAAAATCAGAAAAGATTCTTGAAAGTGACATTCAACGAAAAAAATATTGAAATAATTATTGTTTTTTTTTTTTGACATAATTTGAACTGGGAAACAACAATTCACTCTTTAACGCAAAACATTTTAATACTTATAATAGGCAATTGTTGAGATTGATTTGAACGAAAAATTGCAATCAGGGTTCAAAATTAAAAATTGTTGTATTTTGTTCAAGTTGAATAATCAAATTTGAAAGCAAAATAACTTTTATGGGAAAAAAAAAAGAAAAAAAAATCAAAGTTCTAATCGGATAGTTTGGCCCGAATTTGTAAAAAGAAGAATGCTTGATTTTTTTCTAAATATTTAGATTGAAAAAACTAATAACAAAAATTGAATAATTTTCCTTGTCATAAATAAAAAAATATTGCAAATATTTGTTTTCCAACTGCAAGTACATTAGTGTGATGTTCAATCAAAAGAAAGCGGTGTGACTTAAGTTCAAATTGTTGATTGAAAAACGATTTTCTAGGTCAAAACGAAAATAGAAGAATTCCGTTCAAAATAGTTAAACCTTTAGAAAATCTCTAAATGAAGCAAATTTTATTTTTGTAAAATAAAAATTCGTAATGAGATAAATTTAAATCCGAAAATATGCTCTTTTTTTTTGTTTCAAAACCTAAACAAAAAATGGGTCCTTATTTACACTAAAAATAATTTTGAAGAAAATATAGATGAATTTCATTATGATCGTAGAATTGTCGACACAAGCATACAAAAATAAATAGAATTGGCCGAATTTTTTCCACAAAAGAAAAATTGTGTGAGTTTTTCCAACATCGGTGTGGTTGAGAGTGGGAAAGAGGTTCAATGAAATGATGGTGTGGTTGTTGGTTTCTTGTTTGTTTCAATATGTACAGAATATGGGAGATTCAAACGTCGGTAAGGATTTTGCTTTGTGTTTTTGCCTGATGTTGACAGCATTTGGAGCAATAGTAGTTGGTGTTGGCGCTGCCAAAAAATTTGCAGTCGGCCGTTCGACAGTGTTTGGCCTGTGTTTGTAGAAATGGAGTTGCGATGCGACTAGATGATTTTGGTTCATCCATGTGTTCCAAATACGATGAGATGATGCCATTATTCTTCTTCACAATCTCGTTCGGTACTACTCGGCCCGTGGAATCGGTGTTGATGTTGATGGTGCTTGTGTACGGACCATTCGTAGCGACAGGTGGTTCGCCAATGCCAAGAATATTGTATGGCGGTGGATTCGCTGCACTGTAGCCACTGGCCGTGGTTTGTGTCAGTGTGTTACCAGCCGAATAAGCTCTGGCTACGCCTGAATCAACACAATCCGTGGCATCGGTTTCCATGCGAATGGGAATAATAACGGTTTTGCCGGTTGTTTCCGTGTAGCCATGTCGATAGCCATTCGATGGTGTTTCATTGGGCCGTACATCATTGTAAAATGTTGAATTCGATAGATAGAGTGTTTGGTCTTGTTCGTTGAGCCGTCGAAATGATGGCAATCGTTTAATTGACTTGTGACTCTTTTCATCGGCATGCGCGTAGAATTTGGAATTTCCCGTTCCATACCGTGGACCATCGTGTAACCCATTGGAATTGTTCAGCTCTCGTTCTTTTTGCTTCTCAAAGCATGTGAGGCACATGTAACTCGTGGCTGATGTGCCATAATTGGCACAGCCAGCATTGATGCAGCTTGTTTCACGTTCGGGTTCAACCGGAGAATCGGCTTTCATTTTCAACATATCCAATTGTTGTTGTTCAATCTCGCGCAGCTCTTTCGCCTTTTCCGTTTCCATGAAACGATCTTGAGCACATTCCAAGTAATTCTTGATCATTTCATCCTGATAATCGTGTCGCTTGGCTTTCAACTGTGCACAAAGCACACGTTCCCGTGTAAAACTTTGTGTGGACGAACCGGATGGCAGGCCATTTTTAACTTTGCCATTTTTGCCGTTGGCTCCATTGCTGCCATTACTGTTGCCGCCAATTTTCGCAATCGAACCGATATTCTTCTTGATTTTTTTGCTCATCGTTTTGCCGATGCTGCCAAATTGCTTTGCTACACTTTGTAACTGTTTAGCTGCCTTGCTTTTACCGTTGGTTGGATTGGAATCGTCGCCAAACCCGAGCTCACCATCGATAATTCGCTTGTCATACTCTTCGTCAACGAGATCGACGGAGATTTCTTCCTCTGGGCTACCCAATGGCGTCGCATACACAATGTCTAAATACTCTTTCAACAAGGCGATGTGCTCTCGATCGGTCAGTGCCCAATTGCCTTCACTGCCATCGTATGCTTTCCAGTCGAAATTCACGCCCGGATCGATGCAAAACTGAATCGGCAGCAGCACATTTTCGTAATCGATCAACGGGATCAGTGGCGGTGGCTGTTCACTGGACGCCTCCATCGAGACTAACGCCGAAAAATGAGCCATGTCATATGTCAGCAGCAACGGTGCACGATAGCATTCATTCGCCTGTATTTCGAATGGCAAATACACGCCGCCAAATGGGATCGGTGCCATCGCCTCACCGTTCATATCACGCAGCACAGTGTCGGCGATTACAATGATCGTTCGACGCAGCACATGCGCCAATGCAAAGATGTGCACTTCTTCGAGACTTTCGTACGTGGCATTGTCATCGATTGATTCATTTATGGCCACCGATCGGCGTCGTGAAGCACTTTTCGATTGTCTTGGTTCCGGCGATGCCATGCACACGATTTCCTCCCACTCTTTAACCCATTCCACTTCCGAATACACAAAACCGGCTTGTTTATTCAGGCGCGTCTGTTGAAAACGCCATCGTCTCCATAAGGCATCTTTATATTCGCCAGACGATAGCACTTGATGCAGCGCTGCTCGTAGCGTCAGCTTTCGATCATGAAATCCCCACATTGCCAACGATGCAGCGTGCAGTAGGCAGTTTCCATCGCCCGTCGTTGCCAACGGCCATAACTTTCGACAGAATCCAGCATCGGCCCACCAATTCAATCGATTCGCCGTTTCCAGTGAATTTAATGTGGAACATTCAATCAAATCCTTTTCGAGAAACGTTCGAAACTCATCCGAGTATATTGTTAGATCGGGTAATGTGAATGTGTAGTCGGGCATATCTAACTGTTGCACATTATCAACGGTATTCATACAATTCGAATGCAAATCCATTGCCACTTCGGTTCGTGCTCGTGATACCAAATTCTCGTTCTCTGTCGCTCGTGAAATACCACGGTATAGTTTTTTATCTGGAAGAGAGAAAAAATGGGCAGATTTTTAATGACGAATTTTTATTGTTCGTTATTTTGTTTTTAATTGATAAGGATAAGGAGGAAAATAAATCACTTATTGATATGAATAAGCTAAAAAAAACAAAGATAAACATGAAATAAACAAAAAACAAATAGCACCACGAGATAAAAAGAGGTAATAAAAGGGCAATTTGAAGGGAAATTTTGAAATTAACAATTTTGATTGAGAAATTTTCACTTACAGTCAACAATGTCCACCGAATCGGACTTCGCAAAAGAACCTCTTCGTTGTTGTGTGTTCGGCTGTGATGCGTTTAATGTTTTTGACGAACGGTCCGCAAAGTCTACTGTATTAACGGGCACTTTAAGCCCACTTTTTCCATTGAAATACTCATTCGTCGATGTGTCTGCAAATAAAAAGTAGCGAAAGATATTTAAAATATTTGACAATCAATTTTTCTGAACAAAGTATATGAAGCTTGTTTTGAAAATTGGAACAAATATTTGAAGAAAAATCGAAAATGTGTTAAAAGTCAAAAATAAGAGAAAATATTCGAGATTAAAATGTGAACCAATTGAGAAAATTGAATTTTTTTTAATGATTTTTGAAGTTTAAAAGAGTTTTGGAGTAAATTTTATGCTCATAAAGAGTCAAAAACCATGTAAAGATGCTAAAAATGTAAAAAAACCCGATAGTTCGCTTAAATTTTCATTTACTTAACTACGGTTAGCTATAAACACTTGAAAAGGGCAAATATGGGCAATTTTAAAAGGGAAAATTCTGAAAACTGCTCAAATGATAAAAAAATAAACGAAATTTGTAGAAAGTCAATGAAAAATTCTGAGTACATTTTTAAAAAAGGTAAAAAAAATGTACGTTAAACTCATGGAATAGCCATGGAAATCCTAAAATATACAATGAAAATGGTAAACACTTGAAATATGATGAAAAACAAACAAAAAACAAAAACATTAAAAAAATAAAAATAGTGACAAATGTGTGCTAAGATGCGGATGGTCCTTCATCATCAAAGTCTCTGTTGAACATTGGTTAAAAGTCAATCCGCTGGAATAATCAAAATTAGTTACCATTGTAGTCGATGAGTGCTTTCTTGAGATCCCAGCCCCATGTTCTTAGACAGCTCAACGCATCATTTGGGCTGGCTCTAGTTTTCGAAACGAATTCGGCCACCAGTTGTGTTTCCATGCCCGTTGCGTTGTCGCTGATTCAGAAGGAATTAGTGATATTGTGATGATGTGTGAGTTGATGATTTAGGTCTCGTTTTATGTTTCTATTGCCTTTGACAAACTGTCCAATTCGAAATGGAGGTGATGAGACGTGTGTGAAAGAGAGAAAGAGAGAAAAATAGAAACAAGAACAATTCGATCAATCAAAGTGCAAAGTGCGGAAAAAAAATTACGGAATTTTATTTGATAGTGGGATTTTTACAGGGAAACTTTGATTTTTTTTTTACTTAAAAAATAAGTTTTTACTGGGGAAATTCAATTAGTTACGCCAAAGCATTGAAAATACAAATTTTTAGTTAAAAACAAACAAACACACAAGCAAAATACGATCAAAATGCGACAATTTCTGTAATAATTTGCAATGAAATGAGCGGATTTAGGTCGTTTTAATGATATTTTAGCTGAAATTAAAAAAAAAATTGGGTGAGTTTATGGGGGAAGCAGCGGATTTTATCGAAAATTTTGCCAAAATGATGATTTTCTGTAGAAGATATTTGAAAATGTCCAAAAAGCAGATCTTTTTTTGTAAATATAATCAATTTTCGTTGAAAACCGACGGATTTCTTCTTGAAAATTGATAACATCGCATAAAACTGGTTCTGTTTGTTACAAAACTGCTGATTTTCTCCAAAGCAAACATTAAAAAAAATGATTTCTTCCGAATAGAACTCGAATAAATGGACCTTATCTCAATGAATCACACGCAAAAAACGAAAAAATTCCATTTTTTCCGTTCACCGCCCTATCACTTCTATCCACGCATTCAATTCGCAACTCTCGTGATAACATTCATTCAACAGAAAAGTTCTCTCATCAGTTATTCAACTTATTTGGGTATAGAATTCCGTTACTTGTGTGCCATTATGTCAAATCGCTCCATTCGACCATTGTAATGACTCATTAAAATGTTAAATTCCACAATTTTGGGTCAAATTTACTTGCAATTTTCTTGTTTTGATAGAAAAAAAATGATAAAATTTTCGTTGAAAATTATGTATATTTTGTTTTTCATTCACAAAACACCAGTGTTTTCAGTTGCAATCACACGACTGAAGTGTGGTCAAATGGCATGTGAAAACACAATGCTATGTAAAATCTTATCTCATATTTTATCGCTTCGTGAGAAAAGAATGATTGCACGCGTAGAATTTTCAGTTCAAGTGCAACGAAGTGCAACTGAAGCTATCGGAACGACCTTCTTATTCTTAGACAATCTGATTCATTCAGATAAGAGCGCACGATAAGGTGTTTTACTATCGTGATTCATGAATTTCATGCATGTCGTATGGTCTGCTGTTCAAAGTCTCAATCATTCGATTGTTTCATCATCAAATCGCCGAATATGGAAGTGCTTCAACTTTCACTGTACATGCCGAACATGGTGAACCGAACGTTGATTTCGTGGTGAACTGTGTTTCATCCGAAAAACTTGTTTTAATTCAAAAGTTTTGAATCAAAACATGAAGAGGCGTGTGAGTCAAAATAGGGGCGTTTAAAGTAGTTGTTTATCTCAAACAAGAATTATCATCAATCGTTGCCCGTACAAGAACTTTACGAGTTGCGTTCAAACCTTTTCAGTTCGAAAAAAAAGACACTTGTTCATCATACTTTCAGTTCGAAAATGCGATAACTCTATTATTGCGGTCAATTTGCCGTCAATTTACGTTTGGCGATGAATCGGCTAGTCGTTTTTAAATCTATTTGCGTTTGAAGTTTACAGAGCTCGTTACAATAAGTCAATACATATTGACTTGGATTTGGAAAGAAAACAAATTGTGCAAACAGCTCTCATCCATTTATTCGCATTCGACAGCAAACAAATAAGCTCATTTTGATGAATGTACCCAGTGAGTCGATGAATAAGCGCACTAAATGCAATCGATTCTCTATTTTTCACTGTCGTTAACCCTCGATCGATAAGAAATGGTCGTTAAATTTTACGAATTCACGATAAATTGGCTTGAAGAGTGATGTGTTGTATCCGAATGAACATGAATAACTGAACTTCCCTTTAAAAGTTGCCAAAGATCGATAAGTGCGCAGTTTATTCCGCAAATGTTCGTTTATTACCGATAATTCTTCGAAACTTTATTCCACGCAGTCACAATGTTGTTATTTTTTGGTGTTTTTCAATATTTAAACAGCGAATCGACATTTTTTCTGCTGCAGCAGAACAAACACATGTATTTGCTTCAATTTTAATTAGTTTAGAAAGAACTTCACAGTTTTTACCTATTATTCTACTTTTGGCACACATCACTATTGGTTTAAGTACTCTTCGCGTAGCAGCATACTGTTTAATGATTATTTGAATTCATTTCACGGTATTTTCAATGATTTACTTCAATAAAATACGATATTCCGAAGAAGCAAGTGGTTTTGCCAAAGAATTTTTTATGCATGAATTGTTTCTCTACTCATTTCTGATCGACTTTGAATTAACACTGAGTCGGCGAGTCGGTATTCCACAACTTTGTGATAAGAAAGCCATAAACCATTTCGGAACAGAACTATCGAACTATTTTTGATAAACGAGCAATTTTCACTTCTTTAGTAAACAACTTGACCAATAAAAGTCTCCTCTTCCAATCATAAAAATGATATAGATGAAATCATGCGATGTTTTTAGACATTTCCGCATGGAACGACTATTAGTCATGCATTGAGAATTGTTTTCTGAAAGAAGTGAAATTCTTGAAACGAGCTAAAGTTGAAGAAAATTTAGAGCGCGTTGAACGTAATAGACGACAGACTATTTCCCTCTCACCTTTTTAATTTAGCCTTAATTACACGAAGAAAAATGGAGTATAACAATAGAAATATTGTTTACAAACAATTCTGACGTCGAAAAAAGTCTTCTTGAACAAAAATCATTAATAAACAACATTTTTGTGACCTCTGATTAAATTTATATACGGGCCACAATATCATCACATTTGATTAGATCTATAAAAAAAAAAATGTGAGTATGAATCGTCGCAATAGAATGTGAATTTTATGGTACGAGATTGAAATTGATCGCTAATTGCTTTGATAAATGAGCGTGTGTGTGTTTTTTACTGCGCGTCGTGATGATCTCGTTAAATGTCGCTCTGTTATGCTTCGAATGGATCGATGATCGTGTCATGATCTATTAAAATGGAGAGGCGTGAACTGTAAACTCTCGATCTTTTGTGTAATTCTCATTGAGTTGATGATTGAGAATTTCTCAACTATTCGTACGGCAACTTTGGAATGGGGCGTGCTTCAAATTTGGATAATCCAAATTTGATTTCAAAACTTGACTCAAGACACTCAAGTTGAGTTTTGTAATCTAAATTCTAAGAAGCAATGTGTGTTTGTTATTGTTTCTCTCAATTGAAGGTCGAGCTAGAGATTTGCGCTTGGAATTCATGTAACTCTCTCTCCAAGAAATTCATTTAGATCTTTATGGATGTAATCAAAGTGTGATTCTTTGGAACTCTCACTGAGATGAATCGATGTCCGAGGAGTAGCCGATATGGTTACAAAGACGGAACAACAGCAAGTCTTTTGGATAGGCTGTTTTAATTTGAAAAAGAATTTAGTCTCTCATTAGCTCATTACGAAAAATGCAAAACACTCTCTCAGTTTCATCTCTCTCGTTTGTTCAATTTTCGTGTAAAACAATTTTTCAAAAGGAAAAATCGTTTCCAAAACGATTTTCGGACATTCTCCTCATTTTTCTGACGATTTTCGTGAATCTCCAACATTTTATCTCTCCGAAAGAAAAATTTCCTTAGAAACTTTTTCTCTTATCCAAGTGTTACAGTCATCATTCTCAATAGCGGTCGAAAGTGTGCCTTGGGTTAATCATCATCATCGTCGCTTCATCAATCGGTTTAACGAGCGTTCAATAAAAATTCATTTCTTGACGTGGAATGGATACGTGTGAATCGATATGGAAGTTATATAACACAAAATTATGATAGCAAGTTAATCGCTTAATCGGCATATGTGTGTTCGATCAGACGATAAATCGGTTTTTCGAAGGTGAATTAGTATTGAATGAATTCGAGCAACGTTGCTAATTATTTATTTTGCGTAGTTAAAAATTAATAACATATTGGAGTGAGAAAGAGAGATGGATACTGAGAAAAAAAAATAGAGAGCGATTGAGCTGTTTAAGATGCGATTCGTTGCGCCCACGAGCCGATTCCATGTACGGCGTTGACTTCAGCGGAAACAAACACGTCGATTGCATTAATTACAAATAAATGTTTCGCATTTGTATTTGCACAGCCGAGTCATTTTGCGAATTGAACAAGTCGAACGGAGAGAGAGAGAGAGAGAGAGAGAGAGAGAGTGAGACGTGCGGCTATTCATGTTAACTACTACCCAAGGCGCGCGTGAGCGTGTATGTATGTGTGTATGTGTGCACAACAGCATAAAGGTCGAATTGTTGAAGTAATATGAACAACAACGAAAAAAAATCAATATATGCTGGCTTTGTTTGTAAACATTGTTCACTTGGTGTGACTTCCTTGAGAACTCGTTCAACAATGCAACGAGCAAGTGAGCGACAGAGAGACTCAGGCAACGTGCATTGTTATCGACCAGCACAATGGCTGCCAGCCACAACTCTTTACAACCGAATGCAGACCGCATACATCAAAATGACTTTGACACTGATTTCCAATTGCACTTCAATTCGTTCGCCTTCCTACGTGACCAACGACAATGAGCTTGAATTTTTTTCGCAACGTACGAATGGCAATTTCGTTTTGATTTTGCGAATGCACAAATAATTTCTTGAGTGAGTCACTTTCGGGTTGGAAAAGGCAAGTTTTTTGAAGAATTCAAATGAATTCATCGGTTTCAATTCAATGGAATGAACAAATAGAAGAAAAACTGAATTCATTCAACTCGTCTCTGCAGTTTTCAACGAAAACTTGCCAGTTACTATCAAAAAATTGCTCTTTTGCTTTTGAAATGGGCCTTTTTCGTAGTATAATCTAGTTTTTAAGGTAAAATTTGTACGTTTTTACTGTAAATTCACATTTTCTTCAACATTATTTGCTCTTTCTTCATTATTGTTCAAGAATAATTGCTTTCTTTGAAGAAATATCAATTTTTCAGAACAGATTTTTTTTCTATCGTAAAAAATTATCTTTTGTCACCAAAATTAAATTTTCCCCATTCGAAGTGGAATATTTTTTATCAAAGCTTGAATTTTTCTGGCAAAAAACCTAATTTTTCGATCAAAAAATCCATTCCGAATTGAAGTCCATTTTTTAAAAACCAAAAATCATTGTTTTTCATTCAAACTCGATAAGTTTCATGACAAAATGTCTCCCTTGATTCCCGCAAAAAGCTGATTCCATTCACGAAAAACGTGATATTTCAATTAAAAACACGAATATCATCAACAAAACCATAAACTTTCGGAAGCGCAAGTTGCTTTACATTGGAAATTGGCATAATTCTATTAAGAAATGTCACTCACTCCATGCAAAAGTCACAATTCACTCATTGAACAATTGATTTCTCTGCGAAAAAAACGTTTTTATTCAAATCAAATCCCCACGATTTTCAATTGAAAGTTTATTTTGTTTTATGCGCTCTCTGTGATTGGATTAAAAGTCAGTAACTTTTCCATCAAAAATGCCATTCATCATTGGAATAAGCGTTTGGAAAGTGTTTCAAAATAGTTCATTGCAACGCAAAACACACGTTGTGGAAATTCTTTGGCGAGTGATTTTTTTCAGTCGAAATGCGTTCAAAACAATTGTGAAAAATGCTGAAAATGTGAAGAATGTTTTGAACGTGTTTTAAATCATGTTTTGGCATTCAAATGGATGAGTCGTTCCAGTGGAATGACATCAATATTGGCACGGCTTGCGAATGTAATTTAAATCTGAAGGATTGAACGAGCAAGATGGGAAGACACAAAGAGTGAACAATGGACGAAGAGAGACAGAACCAACTCCACACAGCCAGACACGAAGCGAACGAAAGAGATAAATGTGTTGTACAAACGCGCCCGTAATTGGTATGAGCTCATTGAAAATGTCCAAAAAAAAAATTGAATATGTTCGCGATCATCAAAGGTTCGTAAATGGAATTTTGTGTATAGCGCCATTGATGTCAATAACAGCAGCGGCAGCAGCCACTCATCTCGAAAAAAAAAAAAAAAAAAAAAACAAACAAGCACGCGAGCAAACGTGCAATAGAGAACGCTGATCGAGATGATCATTGCTCATTCACCGCAGAATGAAAAAAAAACAAAGCCAGCTCGGTATATCTGTTCCGAAACGCGCGCGAGCAATGAGATAAAAATAAATGCGTATTTTAATTCATTGTGTGGCTTCAATTGTGACTAACAGTGCACACACACAGAGAGACAGGATGGATACTACACATTTGTAATGTGATTTTCACGGTGTATTTGTTCTAAGTCTGCGGGCACGTCAAGCGTTTGATCTCAATTTCTCATTGTTTTCGTGGCGGCATTTTTCTATCTACATATGAAGCGCTGATATTTCATTTCATTTCATTGCGCGATTATTTCGAAATTCATCGAGTTTCATCTCTATCTCGCCCTCTCGCTCTCTCGACTTGACTATTTCATTACGATTTGATTGACATGGAGTATGACTTTAGGTATGGCTTAAACCGATACTATCAGCCCGATACAAACAAAAAACCACTGCCTTCTCCTCACGGCACACATGCTTTAGCCAAAGTGACACTTGTGAATTGTTCTCGATCCACGAATTCTAAATTGATTTTTGGATGGCACAACATGTTTTCGTTATTCTACAGTCTACACTTGTCACGACCACCCGAAATAGATGCGACCGAAGCGTAGCGTGGAATAAAAGGTGCTCACTTTTTTTTGCAGATCATATGTTTTTGACAGCACAAACGACGCAAAATCACAAAACATTCATCGTCTATTTTTAGACAAGGCAATAAAATGTTTCTCTCTCTCTCTCTCGTTCGTTCTCGCGAGTTCTTTGTCTCTTTCTCTGTTTCACTCTTTTCCTTTCCTTCTTTCTTCATTTATTTCTCACTCTTTTTCTCTCGTCCTCTTTTTTTCACTTCTTCTTCCACTTCTTTTTGCCAAACGACACTGAATTGAAAAACGAACGCTAAATCTGTGACTGTTTTAACTCGGTGCCGCGTGTGTTTTTCTTTCTGTTTTCTCTCACTGGAGAGTGACAAATTTTTTTTATCGTTGGCGGCAACGGCGACGGCACGGATCCGGATATATAGCTTGGCGGCGATCCAAGTCGGGGGCTTACGGTGACGCCAACTAGAGAAAGGTCGTCGAATTCAGCGCGTAATTAAATCCACGTACGGGTGGAAAAATGAGACACAGACCAAAAACGAGTGTGCAATAATAATAATCTAAGCATTTGCTTTTTTTTTCGTTCGTTTGAAGCCCTGCATTTATTGCACTAATCCACGCTAGAGACGTTTGTCGGTTTTCCTTGTTGCTTGTTTTTTCTTCTTCTTCTTCTTCTTCGCTACCAATATATCCAATTCCAATCAATTTTAAACAATTCACCATGTTCGTTTCACCAAAGGTTTCACATGCAACAAACGAACGAAACGAGGAAAAAAAAACTACAGTTTTGACTGAAGATAAATCGGTGATATTACGGTTCATTTGCGCTACCGTTCGAACAACACACACACAAACATACAATTTCTTTCTTTCTTTCTCGTCGAATCGCGTTTTTTTTTCCTTTCGCTCTATACAAAACAACTGAATATGAACAACAGCAACAAAAAAATAGAAGCACTCACGCAACAAACACTAGCACAATTGAATTCAATTTCCACCGAACGGTATCGCACACACGCAAACCAAGGGCAAAAATCTCTCACGTAATAATCGAAAAGACAAAAACTGAATCGGCAAACAAAAGACAACTACTTTTCTCTTCTTCTTCTGTGAAATTAACAACAAACAGTTCAATCATCGTTTACGCACTCACAACACGACCGTGTTTTTGTTTTTAATTTACAAACTGCGTCAAAAGTCACCAATTCACCATTCACTGAATGCAGTTCAATCGATCACAACTCATTCAGAGAAAAATATTCCAGTTTTGTTATTTAATATGATTTTTCGTCGGCTATTTTGAAACCTTTTTTTCTTGTTTTTCTTTCACAAGTTGTCAATTGACTTATATGACAAAACACCCACTTTTAATGTGCACATTAAAGAGGAAAATATACGATTCGCCATATCCTTACCTTGACCTTAGCTAATTAATAAAATCCAATATTTATGACGGAAAAATGGTGCATTTTTCATCGATGGCGGTGATTTTTGGCGATGGCTACCAATCAAATCACCTGCAATCCACTCGATTCGCTGGCTCTGCACGTCGTTGTTCTTATTAATTTTTCTGTTTTTGAAGGTTCAATTCTCACGATTCTACGCTTCTCTTTTTTTTCACTCTTCTTTTACCACTTATACGATTCACACCGAGAATATTCCGTCGTTTTGGACACTTTTTTTTTGATTTACACTTTTATTTGGTTCTTTGTTTATTACGACTATTTTTTTCTTCTTTCCAAATTCCGTTTAATGCGAGAAAATTCCCGATTTTTTCGCAGTTTTTTTTTTATATTTTTCTCTCACTTCACTTCGGACGTTCTGTCAATTGCGTACGTGTGTTTGTTCGTCACTTCGTCGATTCAGACAACTTCGATTGTTGTTTTGATTTATGTATTTCTCTGTCGATTCGCCAGATAGTTATCTCACTCTTGCCCGTTCAGTGTTTGTGCATTGGAATACACACATGAATTTCACTTTGGCACAAACACCATGATCCACTCCAAATTTTAACTCGCACAAACAGCTCTCTCGTTCTGTCTCTGTTTTCGCACAGATTTTATACACAATGCCAGTGTATATACTGGTACCATTGACATTTCGATACATATCCAATGACGACTCTGCATTTACGTAATGTCATTTCGAAGCGAACAACGATATTGGGATCGAAGCAATAAATTTTCAATGCGGAAACATGATGAGAGAGAAGATGGAACAGAATTTCATTGATTTCCTTAAATTTTTTAATCATTTTTCATTTCGACCAACTTTTTCGTAAACATTTCTATTTTACATTAACAACAGCAAAATAAGTCTGAAGTATAAACAACGCAGTTAAGAGACAGCTGCTGAAAAGTTCGTTGTATAAAGCAACTACGTAATGGAAATATATTGCGACGTAGAATCCACACAGCGCCATCTAGCTGTTCAATCGATCAACAAGCACAAAAGTTATGGACAACATCAGAGAATTGGTCTTTTTCTTCGAACTATTTCAATTGATTTGAAATTCATTTCTGTTTTTGAGAAAGAAGTTGATTTTCATTTGGAAAACCCAATTATTTTTTGTCTTTTCGAAAATTGTCGTTTCTATTTTATAGTGGCCAGTTTTATCATTGTAACTATAGTAACCTTTTATAATGAATAATAATTGAAAATGGCTCGACATAATTGAATCTATCGAATTGATTTTGATGCATATTTCATGTCGATTGATGATAAGATAATTTAACGGGAAATGGTCTATAAATTGAATTTTTGAATTTTTCTATGGTTCATTTCCTGATTAGCACGTGATTGTGCAATTGTTTTTATTATTACAATATTTTATTACGGTTTATACCTTATCAAAGTTAATCATATTGAATATGAATGAGTAATGTTCACACAGAGAATAATGGCTGAGATTTTTTTGGTACAATCTTTTGGAAAAAAAAAACTTTTTTCGTAAAAATAATCCAAAATTAAGATATCTACTAAAACAAAATTCCATACCAGATTTTGTTCAATGAACTAAATTTAATCCTGCTCAAGTAGCAAATACATTTCACATACATTCAGTTCAGAAAAAGGAGAGCTCGTAAAACAGCTTACCGATAAAAATACACAAACCTTACAAATAACTAAAATCATAAAGTCATTTTTTTTGTCAACAACAGCCCAAATCGACCTGAAATAAAATCACAATTGAATAAAACAACCGACACATTTATTTGAAGTTTGAATGATTCATTTATTCCAACGAAATATAAACAATTCTTGGCCTTAAACGAACAAATGAAGTCAACAAGTTTCCTTTGCCTCTCGATCAATTTGTGCTTTAAGCAATTTTTTCTAATTTCCAAAAATTCATCTAATAAAACTATATAAAATGAAAACATAAGCTGTGACTTATGTCAAATAAATGTAAATAAAGTCTATCAACTCGAGAATAAAGTCTAATTTGATTTCCCAATCCATTTCATTTTGAATTCAAATTTTAGCACATCAACAAAAGTATAAATGCTCTCATGTCCAGCATAGTCGCCGATTTATGTACATCATTTGCTCTGATTTCTAACAAGATCTCGAAATGACGTAGTGAATTTTTATGAGAATCGTTTAAATTTACAATGTTCTAAGTGAGATTGGTTTAGGTCGCGTACAATTTGTCCATAAAATTACTTGCTAATAATGTTTCTTTGTTTCTAATAAGGCAAAATCGTTTGAGAGTTTCAAAAACAATGCGTTTTGATAGTAATTGAAGAGAGTGTTTGCCCAAAGAGAGAGAAAATCGGGCGGATGACCTTAATTTGGAATTTAAATTGTAAACTTTGAGTATCGACGAACATTTTGAACATGTCGAATTCGTGATGTAATTTGTTCTATTTTCAATGATTATTGATTTAATGTTAGTGACAGTAAGTCGTTATTTAGCATCATAATGCTAATGTAAAAATTAGACCAAAAAAAATGCACGTTAAAACAAAGCCAAAATGGGAAATTGCACGAAAAGAATTGATTCAGTATGTTCCTTATGTCGCTGCTGTATTCAGTACTAGTATTCAATATGCCTCTACTCGGAGTGGAACGTTCTTAGATCATTGGTATTTATCTATCCTAAATATATCGAATAATTTATGAATGCAAAAACGAAAAATCATGTTTGCATCTATCTACAAAACTATCGTTTCCTACGTCTTTTTAAACCTTTCAAACTTTGACTCAAGCGAAAAATCTGTAGTCAATAAACCGCAAATCGCCATTTTTACATGGCATCGAGTAAATTTCATCTTTCATTCGTTCCTTTTCTGCTCGTTCCTTTTTTCCCATTCTTTCGCGTTTTTTCTCTTCAAACGGAGATTCATTTAATTAAATTGCTGCTAAAAAAAGATGGTGTTTTATGCATAGATTTCGAATAAATTTCGAGTCGTTCTCCAGTTACTCACTTACATACTATAAAATATAGTCCGTTGAAAATGCTCTTTGCAAAGGTTTTTCTTTTTGCTATCTATATTCCAATGACATGATCTCATATAACTGATGCTTTGAATGGACAATTTACGATTTAGCCTGAATTACCCATTGAATCGGGTGGTGAAAATTCAAATGTTGGAAAAAAAGGCTCGAATTGAGTGACGATTAGTATTATTGCTTCACTTTAACTACTGTACAAATACACTTATAATAGTTCGAATTAGTTCGTTTTTTTTTCTTTTGTAGATTTTAGTTAGTTTGGTGCTTTAGGCGATCTTATTGTGCATCGGATCCAAATACAATTGACTATCGAAATATTCACTTCGTTTGATTTTGGTTTTATACAATACAGTTTTCTTGTCTATAAATAGTAGCACTGAAATAGATTCAATAAATGAGACCAACTACAAAGCCCTTTCGGTCAGTTTCCGTTGCATTACATTGCAATTTCTTACTAGAGATTATTATCATTCTGATACAGAACGTGGAATTATCACACTTGAGAGACACACACACTCTCTCTCTCTCTCTCTCTCTCTCTCTCTCTCTCTCTCTCT